TTTCCCGCATCACAATTTCCATAACAATATTTTTATGAATTTACGTATTTTATTCCATAAAATAATATTATGATATAAATATTTTTGCACTCTCTTTCTTGATAAAATTAGAGAGAGAACCCTAATAGTTTCTCGCATCCCATTTTTATATTACGTACAATTTCTCCATAAAATGACAGTGAGAACTCCAATAGTACCTCGTATCACATTTTTATATTACATACAATTTCTCCATAAAATGACAGAGAGAACTCTAATAGTTACTCGTATCACATTTTTATATTACATACAATTTCTCCATAAAATGACAGAGAGAACCCTAATAGTTCCTCGCATCACATTTTTATATTAATCCGTAAAATGACAGATCTTTATAATAATCCGTAAAATGACAGAGAGAACCCTAATAGTTCCTCGTATCACATTTTTATATTACATACAATTTCTCCGTAAAATGACAGAGAGAACCCTAATAGTTTCTCGCATCACATTTTTATATTACATACAATTTCTCCTTAAAATGACAGAGGGAACACTAATAGTTTCTCGCATCACATTTTTATATTACGTACAATTTCTCCATAAAATGACAGAGAGAACCCTAATAGTTCCTCGCATCACATTTTTATATTACGTACAATTTCTACATAAAATGACAGAGAGAACCCTAATAGTTCCTCGCATCACATTTTTACATTACGTACAATTTGTCCATAAAATGACAGAGAGAACCCCAATAGTTCCTCGCATCATATTTTTATATTACGTACAATTTCTCCATAAAATTACAAGAAAATTTTACATTTTCTTTTTTTTAAATATTTTTATATTATGTAGAAGTTTTATATTTATTTATCTAATTACAGTGACAGAGAGAACCCTATTAGTTCCTCGCATCACATAATCATAGATTTTACAAATTCATTTAAGAATAAACACGTAGACGCTTACTGCAATCTTCATCACTCGAACTAGACGGTAGACGTAAACACGCTTCTTTTGTGATAGTTTCTTCTTAAGTTCCCTCATCTTCTTTAGAATTTTATAATTTTTACACTCTTCCTTTTTTTCCAATTTTAATGAAAATTTTAACAATATTTACTGAGCAGGAGTGATGCGAAAACGTACGTGCGAAAGCTCGAACACGAAAGTGATGAATGAAGCGAGTATCGCGAGATATGGAGTTATGAAGAATGAGTGGCGAGTAGAGTGCAAGGTTAGTGGTGACAACCATAGAATTCTATGGTGACAAAGCATCCATATTATATTTACTAATAGAAAATAGATGTAGGTATCCGTGGACCACAGTATCCACTCACCTACCTGATTATTATTTTGACAACGCAACCTATGAATGGTATTGACGACTTCGTTGTTTATTTTCGATAGAAAGCGCTAGTTTGCAAGTGCAAGTGATTTTCAATTAAATAGAATCCAAACACAAGTAAATTCATTGTATAATTTTATTTACCCAATTAAATAGAATCCAAACACAAGTACATTCATTGTATAATTTTATTTACCTTATAAACGTATGTATCAACATCATAAACGAAAAACTGTTACAATAAAGACGTAAGAACATTATAAATATTATGCTACCCAAGACTTTTAAATGAAGTACTGAGACCAAAGAAAACTTTCCGATATAACAATATTGATATAATACATTAAGAAGTTGGGATCATGCTCTACAGATGATTTTCTCACCCCGGAAATCAGAATGACATACGTATTGCTACAAACTATTCTTTTAACGTCAACAGATTACTAACATCATTTTTTTTTTGCGGGTAGGAGTGTGCTCACTATACGTAAAAATAACAAGCTGCGTAATTTAATTAAAAATATATATATTTATCAAGTGTTTGGTGTGACTGATGTGCTAAATTAGCCTTTAACCTACCAGCATATTTCCATACAACTATTTACAAACCTGCAACTGAATTTTGCCACTAAATTATTCTCATAGTGTGTTCATAACCTGTCACTAATATGGAGTCACTACAGAAGTCCCTTGAAGACATGTCAACCTTATTCAACACTCGAATGGATGAATTTCATAAAAGTATACAAGCAAATAGCTCTTTACCAACAACAGGTAATACATCCTCACTCTCGACAGATTTTGAAGTTTTTCGATCTTTTGTGCTCACATCTTTAAAAACTCTGAATGAGCAAATGCAACTGTTATTCAAATTATATGACCAATCTGAAATGAGATCTAGACGTAAGATGATCCTTTTACATGGTATCAGAGAGGAGAAGAAAGAAGACCTTCCTTCTACAATATGTAAATTGTTCGCAGACAAATTAAAATTGACAGATATACACACTGATGTAATTACCAGATGTCATCGCCTAGGTGTTTCTAAAGATGGTAAACCGCGCCCCATTCTGGTCAAGTTCAATAATATTGAAAATAAAAATCTAATATGGTATTCTAAAACTGCATTCAAAAACACTGGTGTAATTGCATCGGAATTTCTGACCAAGAGTCGACATGACCTTTTCTTAGCTGCTCGTAATCAGTTTGGCATTAATAAATGTTGGACAAAAGATGGTCATATAATCATAATTGGTTCCAATGGTCGGCGATATACCGCCACCTCATTAGCTGATCTGAAATCTATTCCTTGTTCTACTGGTGATTTGGAAGGGTTGTCACTATCAGGGAAGAGCGTTAGCGAAGATAGTGCTAAAGGAAACAAGGTTATTTCTACAGCTAGGTCTAAGAGAGTTATCAAGGCAAAGTAACTTTGTATTAAACTTCTTCAAACGCTGTATGTAATGCATTTTATTGAACAGCTACTTAATAAAACCGAAGTATAATAAAAACTAAGTACTTTATTATACTTCGCTTATTTTTATTCTATTTGTTACTAAGCTTAGTTACTTTAGTTTGCTATCCAAAGTGATTATTTCTCTTTTTGTACTGCAACACAACAAAATTTTAACATTTTTATTATATTTTGAGTAGGACAAACAACACATAATATGAAATGAAATTGTATTATTTCCTTAGTTTTAGTTTTACAAAATATGTTTATGTGCTTGTATTACAGATTGTATATTTTAGTAAATACAAATTGATGTAAATAACTCGCAGAATACTGAATATATCTGTGAATATAATAGGAACTCTGCATCATTGCGCTGCAAGACAAATCCCAACAAAACATATACCGAAAATGAAAAACAAAAAACTGATTCATTAAAATACACAATAGGTATTATCTTTTTAGTATGAATATGAAATTTAGTATAAAACTAGGCCTTCTATTCAATATTTATTTAAGAAGGCATAGGTAACGGTTATGTTAACAAACCGTACCGTTACCCCAGATTGCTTTATAAGGCCGACATTTGCCATAGTTTCCACTCAAGTATTCTATTCATTAATAAAGGTACTTCAAGTTGTGTTATTACTTCAGCATACAACTATTCAATAACATGGGTAATGGTTATAACTGCATTTACTTTGTTGTACCAATACACTGCAAAATGATTACCCTTGTTCACTTGATTATTTTTGATATTTAAGCTAAGTACTTTAGTATATTTAAACTAGTTTACTATAATACATGATTGGAGCAGGTCGTTCGGGCTCAATTTAAATCCCAATAAGACCCAAGCCATTATTGTTGGAAATAGTACTGTAATTTCCAGAATTTGTTGGGATAACCTACCACCTATTGTTATTGATGGTGTTGTGATACCTTTTAGCAAATCTGTAAAAGACCTAGGATTACACATTGATCAAAATCTTTCTTGGTCCCTACATATTAAAGAGTCCAGTAGAAAGATGTTCGCGGCATCATCTTCCTTACGACGTTTGCGTAACTCATTACCGATTCCTACTAGAATTTTACTGGCACAGTCCTTGTTACTCCCTATCCTTGATTATGCTGATGTATGCTATTCTAATCTTACTGAGGATCAATTAAATAAACTTGAGCGTCTTCAGAATTTCGCTATTAGGTTCATATTTGGCCTCCGCAAATATGATCATGTTTCTGAGTTTCGTACTAAGCTCAAGTGGCTTCCTATCAGACTTCGTCGGAATACTCACATTCTATCTCAACTGTACTGTGTACTATTTGATCCTAAAACACCGAAGTATTTAAAGGAAAAATTTGAGTTTGCGGGTGCAGATAAAGATCATTCCAGATTATCCGATAAGCTTATTTTGCGAATGCCTGCTCACAATTCAAAATTTTTTAATTCTTCCTTTTGTGTCAAGGCAATTAAATTATGGAACTCGCTTCCTTTAACAATTAAGAAAGCCCAAAACATTGAGTCTTTCAAAAAACTGGTTAAAAATTATTATTTAAATATGTGTTCTACTAATATATTTCATTATCATATCTACTATACTTGATAAGGTTTGTGTATATATGGTATGTATATAATGTGTAGCTATGTGTTACAAAAATATTTATAAATATGTATATGTATAAATATGTATGTGTATGGATATGTATATATGTGTATGATTATGTATATATATATATATATATATATATTTTTTTTTTTTTTTTTTATATATATTATGTGTTATGCATGATTTTTAACTACTATTTATGCACACTTCTATATTTTTGTATGTAAAAGATCTCCTTCACCAAGGTTTGCCTGGAAGAGATCGCTGTTTAGCGATAAGGCCACCTAATTGTACATAAATGTATCAATTTAAGTTTGTTGTTCTTTTTATTATTGTGTGTGCAATAAAGAGTATTGTATTGTATTGTATCATTCTTAACAGCCAACTATGGTGCCCAACTAACACGTCACGTCTTCAGTAATTGGTTATGATGAAAATTATCGGTAACAGATTGCATCGTGTGTAATGTATGTAAAAACTAATGTATTGTATGTATGTACTAATGTATTGTATGTATGTACATGTACTATATAGGGATGGCTTTAAACCCATTTAATTCACCCTTTCAAAAACTATAGCTATAGCGTAAGAAAGTATATGTAATAAGTTGCAACATTTAATTAGTTCGCCAGTACATAATATACCATCCAAAATAATTAGGATCGTGAGAAACAGAACCATTATGTCCCCATAAAATTCTATCACCATATTCGTCAACATTTGCGTCTAATTTGAGCCCTTGGTTGTAACGTTTATTGATAATTAAAAATATTAACTCATAATTAATCATAACTGGCACTAAAATCCACTCAAATCGTTCTTCATTCGAGTTATTGTCTCCCCACGCTTTTCGATCTCCGATGTTATCAGTGTTAACATCAAGTTTTAAATACATTCCATGTTCGATATTAATAATCTTGAATGTTACAGAATTATTTTGCCATATAGGAATAAATTTCCAAATAACTCTATTGCTTGTTTTATCTTGACTATCTCCCCAAGCAAGTCTATCGTTATACGAATCTGTGTTAGCATCCAATTTAATTGCAAGATTATTTCTCTTATTTACAATCGTGACATAGTCTCCGTTAAAAATTGCCTGAAATTGTTGAGGAAAATAGTTTGTAATCAGAGATTTTTCATTCGAATTCCATAGTTTATATGCATAACTCCAAATATTTTGTTGTCTTTCTTTGAGTAGTTTACTAACTGTGTCAGAAATAACACTGCCATTATTACTGTCATGGAGTAACTTGCTTTTGGACACAGCATTTTCATATTTTTTTTCCACAATATTTTTGTACAAACAGTCGCTCATATCCGTTAAATTCAAATAAGCTCTATGACTATCAAATAAAGTTAAATCTAGTAGCTTACTGGGCAAGCTAAAGTCTTCGCAGTAAACTAAAGCCTTCTTTGTCAATTCACTTTCCAGGTTTTTGATGTTCGCTGAATCCTCTTCAAAACCAAAAACTACTACTTTACCAACATCATTGTTAATTATTCTTCCAATGTCTTCAGCACAACTGGTGTTAATTGGAGCACCCATTACTGTGATAAGTTCAACAGAGTTGTCTTCTATGTAACTACTAGTGTCACAGTTTGTAAAGCTGATTACTGGAATTCTGTTTGGTATTTTTCTGTTCGCATCAGGACCATTGCTGACAACTTGGTGGACATGATTAATATTATAACAATTAGTAAAACCACTGCATCCAGCAGTTACTTCTATTCTTCCTTCGCCCCAATAATCGATGTGATCTACAAATTTGTAAGGTGATACCGGAATTTTTACAAGGTTATATTCCCCTAAGAAAGGCACCTCAGAATAAGGATAAATTTTGTTGACGTTTCGATCATAATTTGGCGGCAACGCGTACTTCCATACACTAAAACTTGGCATGTCGCTGAACAAATTACCTTAAAACAAACACTCGTGGTTAACAAAACATAAATGCTTTTATATAAAATATCACTGATTTATTAGATTATGTAAACAATTTCTAAAATGCAACAATCTGGCAGTAATTATTTTTGATAAAATTGAAACTTCTTTTTAATATATTATAATCGACCAAAATAATTAAATAAAAGAATAAGACTTTTGTGTGTGTTTAAATAAAACCTCTATAGTTCATTAAATACTTAATAAAATATACCTTCGTAATATTAAAATGTTAACTATGGTACGCACCACCTTAGTACTTTGAGAGAAATTAATTACTAAATAGTAATTATTTTTATGAGTATATAAATACTAAACAAAACCAATGTTATTGAAGTTATAATATTATTATTTCCTGTTACTGGTTTCACTTATGAGTTTGCAATAAAATTCAGGCGTGGGCTCGAACTACCGCAATCAAATGTTACCTCAAGTGGTTAAACTTATCATAGTTAACCTATTTAAATAATTAAAAATAGAACGTTTTCATAACAAATGACCTTTACGTGGTTGCCATATTAAAAAATTCTATTGTTTTGAATAATTTGATAAAATTATTTTAATATGAAATCTTATAATGCAATTCATAACCACTATCCCAATAATAATAGTAAACAAAATAAGTAACTACGTATTAAATAGTTTTATAGTATTTTATTCCTATTTTATTTCGTTTGCAACATGTGTGGAATAGGGGGTAGAGTTTGGTTTTCTTATATGAGTATGTTTTTAAAAAAAAAACGTTTGTATATTATCTTCACAACTTAAGAACATTTTTTTCTTATAGTAAACAGATATCTCAATCGCCTTTAATATTGTCTTTCGAAATAATGCCATCCATTAAATTCTGCCACCTTCGCCCCAGGAGGCCTCGTTGGCTTAAATTTGCTGTTGTTGTTGTGTTGCGGAAACAAGTGTGACGGCGTAATCAGTAGTAAACTACAGGAACGAAAAACGGAGCGGTAAGGACTTTTCAACTGAAACTTTTACTGAGAACAGGTTTTATTAAGCTACGAATTACGCTTCCAAACGTGTCATGGTGGTGTAAGAATGTCCATTAACCCATATTATCCCCTGGGATGGGCAGCAGTGTCTTCCTAAGAAACTGTGGTTGCCAACTCGCTTGTCAAACTTGGCATCGCTTAGACCTATGCTCATCAGTGGACTTTATTAGGCTGAAATAACGGTCACGGTAACCTACGTATATATTTTTATATAATATGTACATATATATATATATATATGTATATATATATATAATAAAATTAATATAGAATAAGGGTGACAAACGAGCACACACTCCTCCTGATGGTAAGTGAACGCTGTGGCGCACAGACATCCACAATTATCCTGCTTAATATTTATTTATTTAGAATTAATTGAGATATCCAAAAAAAATTGATAAGAAATCGTCTTTGATTATCTTAAGGTGATATACTTCGATAATTGGGTGGTTTCTCTATTTTACACATTTCCTTAACTTTTATAGATTACTAACCAAATTTTTGGTATATGTTTATTGACTAAATGGTCTTGAATTGCATAAAAAGAAAACACGATAACATGTTTTTCATATTATAGTGTTTTCTGTTGATAATACAATTTTCTCGACAGAAAAAATGGTGAAGTAGGCTCTAATTAATGACATTTCGCCAAAGTTAAAGTACAGACTATATACGAGTACGTCGCACAGCGATACACAGGCCTTCCATCATTTTTGAAAGGGGTTTTACGGCAAATAAGTATCCGCCGCGCCGCCCTAATGCATGTTGGTGACATGCAAGTTTCGTCACGATGTTGATGGGGAACAAGTGGTAAATCAACACCTAAAAATGCAACCAATAATTTCATTGGTGCCAGTAGGAATCTAACCCGAATTGCTTGCGAACTGAAATTTACAGCGAGCGCTAACTTTCTACATTTTCCACGGCATTTGTCCATGCCTCCACAATATTTTTCTTTTTTAAATATTTCATTATTTTCAAAGCATATTTAATAAATCATAACTTATAATAAGTTCACATAAACCATTATTAATCACTTTCGTTTTATTATTCCTTCAGTCGTCCATGAGCTTTGTCGACGACGGGCTGAGCCACGCTCCCAAAACTACAATTCATTTTCAAGGTATCCTCTTTAATCTAAATAACGTCACATTAATAGATCCTATCCAAACAAAGCCAAATATTTAATAAAATCAATTATGTAAACTGCAGTTTTATTCAAAAAAGCCCAGTGAGCTTGAGAGAAAAATAAAGAGTTCATTCACTGGGTTTTAACATTTGAACGTTGAAACTTTTAAATAAACTCACCTAATTTTGAACACTTTTTTTAATTAATTTTAAGGACCCGATGTTACGTACATTGGTTCTTTAAAATTAATTAACTTTGTCATTCTTCTAATCATAGTCATCATCATCATCAGCCCATCTCAAGTACGCTACAGAACATAGGCCTCCCAAAATATTCTACATATGTATATTTTACTCTATCTTTTTTATTATATATTTATGTATTTATATATCCCAACTAACCAACTAGAACGAGAACATTACTATAAGAAAATAATAGTTTATGTAGGTAAATATTTTTCTTAACATTCCGTAGTGATTGAAGTCAGTTAGTAAGCACAAAAAAGCCTGTGTTGGATGACTTCGCTCTTTCACAGCAACTAGTCATTATAGTACAATACGATACAAGGAAATTAAGTAGCCGATTATAGATCCGCGAGAAGTTAGCGCATGATCTTTACACGTTTCCATGTATCGTACATTATTTTATAGTACAAGTGACTTAAATCTACTTATTTATAATTGAAAACTCGTGTCAAAAAATAAAATTTAAAAATGTGATATGATATGTATTACACACACACACACCAAAACCTAGAAATATAAAAAAACTTATATATATATATATATATATATATATATATATATATATATATATATATATATATATAAGTGTTTTTTATATTTCTTCTTTTATAGAAATTTTTCATAGAATAAAAAAAAGGTGACAAATGAGCACCCAGTCCACCTAATGGTAAGTGAATGCTAAGACATCTGCTCATAGACATCTACAATTACCCTCGATTAAGTATCAAAACGCAGATACGTTGTTACCCCTGAGGACTAAGATGAAACGCCTTGTTTGCACTAAAAAAAGGTGTCCGGATCTCAACACTCACCATACGAAACACAGCAGTATTAAGCTGCTATTTTACGCTGATATTCTCTGAAAGCGTGGTCCTTCCCCGGTCGAGCCGACCCATTCGTGCTTCAATTATAACATAGCTGCAGCGTCGCATGTATTGATCATTTGATTTAATTTTTTGTTCGTAATTTAAGGTATTCTAATAAAGGTTACAAATTAAAGTTCTATTGTTCTGTATTTATTATTATGTTTCAATAAATGTTTAAATTTTTAAAAATTATAAAATATAAATTTTAAACTTAGACTTATCGTGTACTATAAAAATAATAAATTATTTCTTTCTATGTACCTACTCCTGTGACCGCGAAAATAGATGAAAATCACAGCCTTGTCGTTCTACTTACAAAAAAATTGATAACTGTGTGGTTTTTCAATTCCGTAAAATGCAGCTTTGAGATCAGATATTATAATAATAAACAAACATAGTTAATAATACGTCAATAATTATAAAACTACTGATCTAATAAACCAGCCCCTAGTGTAACTGACAGAAATCAAGGTCCACTTTATATTTGTTCTAGAGGATCTAGTTAGATTATATTACGCCTAGTTTTATAGTATGTATATATTATAAGTCGAGTCCAAAGGGTTGGCCAAGGCCAAGGCGATTAGGTTAGTTTGGACATAGCGAAGGCCGTCGATCGGGTTTCGCCACAGAAATCTAGTGCCTTATTATAGGAGATAGATTTCTGTGGGTTTCACCCTTCCTTCCTATCGGCTTCCCCAGAAATTATGTCAGTCAATTTGGGAAACGCAAAGGCACAGAATAAATAACTTTGCCGACTTTTAATAGCCTACATAATTATTATTAATTAGATAAATCACGCAGGCAAGCTAAGTAAAACTTCATCGCTGCGCGTGAGTTTTCACATTACTTTGCATCTTTTCCCCTTCCTAAGTCACGGCGGACTTTCCGTGGATATTAAGGGATGTATGTTATGTAGGCTATTAAAAGTCGGCAAGCATTCAACATCAAAAAAGTGTAACTTCTGTACGTAGTACTATTATTTATTCTGTGGTATTACACCTTCACGTACATTTTTACAGCCTACTGATGAAAATTTATTAAGCATAGATTAATGTAATACTTCAAGGCATCTATCTGTAGCATGCGTGTAGGGCAGTGCAGGGTACATACGTTGCTTTAATACACTTATATATACAAATATATATATATATATATATATATATATATATATATTTTTAATTTAAAGAAATTCAACCCATTTGTTTTGATGAAATAAATTATGTATTTATATCAATTAACGATGAGTTATGACCTTCTGTAAATTCTAGTAGGAAAACGTTAAGGGGAAATATAACCTCAAATGGCTTAGCAATATCCTCCGTTTTGCCGAAAGTATTGCAGCATTAATTTTGAAATAAATATATGGTAAAGTTGAGGATTAATGTTAAGGATTATGTTAGACGAAAACACGATTCCGTAAAATTTTCTCAATAGAAAAAAAATCCAAAGTTCATGAAACTTTGAATACTAACTAAACTATAAAGCAGTGCTTATGTTATTTACTTTTTGTTAAATATCATTATTTTCACTGTAAAAAGAAATTACCTAAACTATCAGCGTCTTGAAGCTTGATTCCTGTCGCTCCAATAGAATCACTTAGGCTTTTGAAGGGAGAAGTTGTGTCGCTTACGATCAGAATACACATTACGCAACAGGACGACGTAAAATTAAAATGGGAAATAACCGTGATAAAAATAAGAAGCGACTGGGTTGG